TTTTTTTTCTCATGTTGGCACATTGTTCTTGGGCACACTATAAAAAAATAATCCTCCCTGTGCCATTTTATATAATCCCTTTTTTTTTTTTTTTTTTTTTTTCGGCAGTCAGTTGTTGCCTAAATGATTACCATATGGCCAATGTGTACACAGACCCACCCCTAATTTGAACAAGTAATACCTTTATACTGTCTCTCCTTTGCTGACATATTTTTGTCCTTTTGGTAGCTGGATTAGGACTGAGACAGCGAGACTCTTCTCTGCTGCAGCAGATGTGACTCTTGGTCTTCCTTTCCAGGCACTGTCCTAATGAGAGCCAGGATTACTACAGGCGGCACACCTGTTAACTGAAAACCATTACAGGTTTTCATTATACTGTCAACAGTGTCCAAAGCTGTCATTGCAGTCAGTGGCTATTTTGAGAAATCTAAAATATGAAACATTCTGCTTTTTTGCTTCCTACAAAATTCCATATGTTATTTCATAGTTTTGATGTTGTTGGTATTAAATATATCCTAAGATGTATTTAACTGGACACCAAGTCATAGTTATCTTTCTAGTTTCTGTGTTCTTGTTCCCCTATCCTCTTATCACACAGTCCTTGAGGAATGTCACAAAATCTGTTGAGGGGATGTGTAACAGGATTTTGTTCTGGCAGCGCTAACAATTCTTTGGCCTTTTGCCGTTTCTTTTCCCTCTAAATCTTCTCGTGCAGTTTTCACATGCATTTTATACTTTCATTTTTCATGTTCTCACCTTTTTCTTGAGTGCTCTTTATCTCCCCCCTCTCTGCCCTGACTCTTTGTGTCTCCGAGCTCTCTCCCTCAGTTCCAGGCACACAGGGCAGATCCGGATTGTGTTAATGTACTTAAATCGGCATGCTTAATGTGAGAAGTCTGTACTGCTGATTAGGTATTTCATTTTGTGAACGAGCCCTACAGTAACCAGTGCCTTTTAGATGAGACAGCTGGTGGTGTCTGCCTGCATCATCAGTCCTTTCATTTCACACACAGCTATCTGCTCAGCAGTGATAAACCCAAACAGGCTGATTCAGATGTGGTGCTAGCCTTGTGACAGCAAGTTCAGTGAACCCTTGTGTAAATCTGTCTTGCAATCATCTTTTCATGGTGCAATGAAGACTATTAGCCTGTCATACCCAGTGTACTAAGCTCTCACTCACAGTACCATGCACTCAAGGGTAAGGGTAATATTCATCTTTATTTGGCCAAGTATGTTACACACACAAGGAATTTGTTTTCGGTTCAGAACTGAGGCAGCCATCTGCGGCACCAACTCACTGATGGCTCTAACCATCGGGGGCAACTTGGGGGATCAGTGTCTTGCCCAAGGAAACTTTGACATGTGGACTCAGGAACCATGATTTGAACCTTCAGCCATCCGGTTTGGAGATGACTGCTCTACCCACTGATCCACAGTCGCCTCCAGTACTACTATTGCTGCAGTCTAGCAGTGATTGGTCCTTGTTTTTTGACAAATGCACAAACACCCCGAAGACAGTAGCTCAAACGGTTTCTACTTGATTTTTGTAGCATCCTTTTGCTTTGTTCCTTACTTTTTTGCATTTCAGTGCAGTGTCGCAAAATGCCAAAAACTATGACAAATTGTGACTTTTTAAAAACTTTTTTTAAACATTTTTTTTAAGCCCAGTGTATCTATAACTGTGTGCAATTCTCACAAAGTCCTAAAATGGCAGAGAGGATTAGTAATAATGCAACATGTCAAGGGTCATAGTACTTAAGTATAAATTTTATGGGTTGAACTAGAGAAATGCATTTTCTGAAGAAAATGCGTATGGATTCTGAGTGCTGAAAGATCACCCTGAAAATGCTGAACATTTTGACACCTGAATGGTTGTGCTAGCTGAAAGTATGCTGAAGTAGAATTTTCCCATTCATTTGAATGGGCCAAGATTTTCAAAATAAAGCAAAATATTTTAAAAGTATGAAGTTTAGAAAAATTCTGAATAGAAGCATGAATGTCCTTGAAGAGCTGAATATTTTGACAGCTGAATGGTTTTTCTAGCTGAAAGTATGCTGAAGTAGTTAAGGGCCAAAAAAACGTATGGAAGAATAATAAAGAAAGAAAGACCAGGAAAACACAGTATGGATGCTGATTCAGCATTCATACAATAAGAATTGTTCATGTGTACATTACACAATGACAATGTGTCTGTGGAGGAGTCCTGTGCCTCCTTCCATATGTGCAGGAGTTACCTGATTAGGTCCCATACATCCCTTTTTTTTTGTTCATATTTTTATATTGACTTATACAATTGTGTGTTATGTAAATAATATGTCTGTCTTTTAAGCCGAGAGCTGCTGGGAAAAATTTTGTTATGCTTTGCATAATGACAATAAAGATTCTTGACTTGACACATCAGCGCTTCCTGTTTTCAATCCTTACTCAAACCAAGGAGAGTCGGTGCTGTGGAAGAGGGAGGGGATCACTGTGTCTTGCTGTGTGTGTGTGTGTGTGTGTGTGTGTGTGTGTGAGAGAGAATGTATAAACAAAGAGCAGTTTTTCACAAAAGTGAGTGTGATTCTGGTAGTGTCAGTGTTGTGGTTGCACTGCAGAGCTGCCGTGCTCACTGCAGCTTTTGAACTTGCTGTGTACAGGTGCAGGCTGACAGATTCGTGAAGGCACTGTTTTACTGCCATTGTAGTGAGTGCTTATAAAGTACTGTATGTACAGTATGTGGAGGTGTAGGTAGCTTGTGTGGGTAGGATGTGGGTGTGTGTGTGTTTGTCCCATGGCATTACTGTGTATGCGTTTTCACAGCATGCTTCACTTCTAAGGTATAACCAAAAAGAAAGATAAACACATACACTTTCAGGGGAAGACATCCAGAGAGTAAGCTGGACACCAGTGGCAATATGCAACAAAAAGTCAGACATTCTTTTTATACTCTACTCATTACCCAGAAAAACAAAACACAACGCTAATGTAGACTGACAGCACACTACTGTTGCAAACTGTGCTACAAACATTGCTAACCATACTCAGAACAGTGTCACTGTTTTCATTTGTACTGGTTTTCAGCCAATCTCCGTGGCCTGGCTATAGATGATCTTGCTCTCAGATGTACTTTTGCATGGTTTTGTTGGCTTGTTGAAAACAGTCTGTTTACTCTCTCATGCTGAATTCCTCAAAAACTGTACACATTATGGCTTCATTTTGGACAAATTTAAATCGAAGTTAAATCCTAAATTAATGTGATGAAATTACTTGCTCATTTCAAATGGTGTTTTTTTTAATGTAGTTTATTTTCCTGCATATGGTGTTTTTCTTTTGTTCAGCTATGAAAGAGTCTGTTAGCATGCATGATTCGTCCTTTAGCTTTTGGTACGTTTCCGTTGATGCAAAATATGTATGCATTTTATTAAAATGCAACAGTACCCGTAACCTCAGATCTGGCATTTTTCGACCTGTAGCTTCTTTTGCCTCTTCAGTTGGGCAGTGTTGTAGTCTGCACTGTCTTTGGCTTTTTGTTTCTCTCACCTTCTCAACTGTATGAAATTTTCAAATGGAGAGAACATTCATCAGATTGGCTCAGATGCCATCTGTCTTCATCATTTTGTGGAGTGTGTTGACACACAAACACACCCACTCAGATATGGAGATTACAGAGAAGCAATTATGTTTGGTTGGTGAAAGCATCAGATCTGTTCAGCCAAGGTCTGTTAAAATTCAAATGCAAGAGGTTGTGTTCTTAGAGCACAATACAAAATGAGCACCTCGTTTCTTTAGTTATTTGAAGTAAATTTTCAGCTGTAATAGTTTGTAACTGGTGTATTCATACTGGCTGATGTTTCTATTTCCATCCCATCTCTTAAGCATCACAACGGTGATTTGACCTTGCTGGGCTAGCTAATATGATGATTTTGCAGAATTGTGTCTGGATTACAGCATAGCTAATTTTTTGTAAAACATTACTTAAAATGACTTTAATCTTTGAGACCATTCACTTTGTCATTAAACTTAATTTTGCTGTTTTTGACTGATGCATCTCAAGCTCAAGCATTTAGCTTTATGTGCCTCCTTATTTCACTTGGAAAATTCATGGCGTTTGTTAGCCTGGATTTAAATTTGACACGCTGAGTCTTTTTGTGCTGTTTGTCCTAACATGATTCATGTGTGTATGTGCCTTTGCAGCTGTGGTATAAAGTACTGGCGACTTGAATTGCTGGTGCATCAGACACCAGTCTACCAAGGCAAACCCTTGTTTCACTCTGCCATCCATTATCTCCCTCTTCCTCCTGTTTGCCATTATCAACAGAGGACAGTCTGGGCCCAGGCCTTATCACTGCTGATCTTACAAACAGATCAGAGGGCTGCCTCCCTGCGTCAATACTGTCTGAGGTTGTTCACCTTCTGTCCTCGCTTCTCAGCTCTGTGACTGATGCTCTGATCAGCTATGCAAACCTGCACTATGACAACAGTGATATCAACTGAGCCAAAGAGGAGAGAGAGGAGAGGAGAACATGCTTAAATTACTGTTCTTGTCATATTTGTTGGGGGTGAAATTTGGATGCACAGATGCATCTCATCAAGTGAAAGAGGCCATTATTACCCAAGCTAAACACATACAATTTTCTTGACAGAATGGTGTACCTATGGGTTACATGCAGTTCAAAAAGTGATAAAACTCTCCTCTCCATGTTTACAGAAGTCACTGCCATGTACCAAATGGTCGGTCACAATAGATAGTTCCTTCTCTTTCAAATGTGCAGAATGTTGTCTTTTATTCTGTTTGATTGTCTTAAGATGCAGCATCCACCTGAGATTTAGATTTTGTTTTTTAATGTTAAACAGCTTGATGATGTGTCTGAATGAAAACTTGTCATTGTGTTGAAATTTGTATTTCTATTGTATTGTTTTGTTGCTGTGACCAAGTTGTTGAAACTGATTAACATATATTATCTGTTCCATTTCTTTTCTCTCCCCCTGGTTTTCCTTCCTTTCTTCCACTTTTTCCATAGGTTCTGTTGCATCAGTTTCACAGCAGGTGACCCCCACCCTTCCGTCAAAATCCGGCTGTTAGATGTGACCACGAGGTTGATCAGGAGAAGCCACCATGTCTTAAACACAGATGGTCCCTCTAGCGCCCTTTCCCCCCTCCCTGACCCTCCCTCCCCCATCCACCACCTTACCCCTTCTCCTAGCCCTATCCCTTTCCCAGACCTTCCTGCACATGCGAGGGACAGGCTACCCAACCCTGGCTCCCCGCTGGCACACCACTCCCCTTCCTCAGGAGAGATGAGCCTGCAGAAGCACCAGCAGCTGGGTGGTGCTAGTGGTGGGGTGATGGGCTCTGACCGGGACCTGCAGTCCACTGCTTCCTCCATCTCTTTGCCCTCTGTAAAGAAGGCCCCCAAGAAGAGGCGCCTCTCCCTGGCCTCTCTTTTCAGACGGCGAGGACGAGAGTCTAAATTAGGGCGCCAACGGTCTCGAGAGTTCCAGCACCATGGACCTGGAGTGCTTGGAGTGGTGGAGGGCATCGCCAGCATTGAGAACATCCACTCTGAGATGTGTAATGAAAAGAACTCTGCCTTCTTCTCCGTGGCTGGGACTGGAGCTGCCTCTGCTGCTGCCTCCACATCATCTGCCTCAGGGCCTTCTTCCTCTACCTCCTCCTCCTCCTCCAAGGTGTGTAGTGCGATGGGGGCAGAGCTACTGGAGTGCCCGCTGTGCCTTCTGTGCCACTCCAGGGAGAGCTTCCCTGACATTATGACCTGTCACCACCGCTCCTGCATTGATTGCCTGCGCCAGTACCTGCGCATTGAGATCTCAGAGTCACGTGTCAACATCAGCTGCCCTGAGTGCTCAGAGCGCTTCAACCCACATGACATCTGCATGATCCTGGGTGACCGGGTGCTCATGGAGAAATATGAGGAGTTCATGCTGAGGAGGTGGCTGGTGGCTGACCCTGACTGCCGCTGGTGCCCTGCACCGGACTGTGGGTAAGCATTGACACATCCACCATGACGAGCAGTCTGATCCCACTGTCTGCACTCAGCCAAAGATTGTTTTTAAGGTTAAAGAAGCATCACTCAGTCAGAGTGGACCGAGTGTTTGTGTACATTAACAGTTGGCCTCTATCGGTGGCTTTTTGGCTGATTTGGCATGTTGAAGAGGTGTTGGCAGTCAGGCCTCATCGGTGAGAGACCACTCTGATTGGCTGTTGAGTCAGTCAGTGCATGAGAAGAGAACAGTTTGTGAAAGCCCCTTCAGCCTGTCACTGTAGTATCCATGATTTCACCCATTTTCTGTGCAGTTTCTCCTTGTTTTTCTCCTCTACAACCTCCTTTCTTCTTCCACAACCAAAAGACTAAGGGCAGAGAACGGCAGTGTCATTTGCAACTTCTTATCAGACATATTCTTGATTAGAAGCAGCTATAAACAGCAGCTGTGCTGAGCAAGAGCTGTTGTGTTTGTAATTTATGCTTCCGCATTCTGCCTCTTCTTTCCCTTTCTGAATGGCAAATACAGATACCACCAACTGCTGGTAGGGAGAGTTATTTCTGTCACGCAGGCGCAGAACATACGTGCTAGTCAGCCGTAGTCTGTGGGGTGTGTTCAAGTGACACTTTTTCAATCCAACTGGCCCAGACAAAGCTAACGTGAGGTGACGCAAAGGTCAGCCTTTGTCGCTGCTAGTTATTTCATGTCATCTTGGTGTGTTTCTGCCCTCATGCATGCAGTGATCTGAGTGATGGCACCTTCCTGAGTGATGGCTACTTGCCTTGCTTCCACCCAGTCCCCTACACTGTCGCTGCAATGTGCCTTTCTAGGGGCCCTGCAGGTCCAGATGGTGACTCACTGACGAGACAAATCAATTCATTTATGTTGCTGAAAACTGCTTTAACTTGTGATTGTTCAGGAGGCATCAAATGACTTTACATTAAGTGAAAAATGATGGGCTGTAGGGCTGCACCTATCGATAATTTTAGTAATCGAGTATTCTACCAGTTATTACATTGATTAATTAGGTAATGGCATAAGAAACTACATTAAACATTAAAGAGCAATCATAAATGTACAAAACAGAAAATAAGTCTCTAAAATTACTAACTGGTTTCAGGTCTACAGTATAGAACATTGTGCAACAGTAATAATCATTGTGTGAAACACAGTGATCTGTATAAATTATATGAATTAAAGATTCATTTTGGGAATGCAGAAATTTTACGTAAGTAATTTTTAGTAATCGAGTTACCCGAGTTACTCGAGTTAATCGAGTTGCCCAATGAGCCCAATGGGCTGTATATTTATGTGATTAAAAAAAACAACAAATCTTTTGTATGTCAAAGGTTGCAGCCATTGTAACATTTTGGACATGCCATAAGCTGCTGAGATTTTGTGGCAACCTAGACCCAGTGATAAAGGTTCATGAACATGACACACATCCTCACATTTATGTTGGGAGAGTTATTAAGCGGGTTGCTTAACAAACTAGTTAGTCCTGTCTCTCTGTCTGCAGTGCTAGATTTTGTATTGATTTTAACATTCTTTAAATGGTTTTTAAAGCACTTCATGAACTCACCAGCCTGCTAGTCTGACATGCTTCCACTGTAGTTGGAAGTCTTTTAGTTGTTCCAAAGTGCAGGGCTGAAACATCTGATGCGATAGTGTTTAGTTTTTATGCTCTGAAAGTGTTGATGTTTTTAAATGTAGACCTAAAACCTGCACTATTTTCTTATTCTTTTATCAACCAACACTTTTCTTCCTTTCATGTCCATGTCTGTCAGACTCAGACAGCAAATGGCTCTTTCATTCTTCTTCACTGCAGATCTCCTGTGCTGATAGACGACGTTTGCACAGTGGAATGAATCTGAGGAATCTACAGTTTCCCAAATTTTCCACAGCTTGTCTCTGTCGTTTCCTCTTTCTTGTTCTTCTTTCCTGTAGTTCAGACTTTTGCCAACATGTAATATTCACCCAGTTTATTTCTCAGTTTATCAGGTGCACTGTTTTAGATTAGTTTGGGAAGGCACAAAATGTTCATTTAAGCTAGTGCCCAGAGGTTTTAGTGCTAATTTCTCTTGACACAGTCAGCAGAGCAATTATTGGTAGACAACGCATCATTGCTCAGGTCAGGAGCACGCTACAGCCTCTCAGTTTATCCTAATAGAGAAGAGACATGTCTAGTTTCCATTTCAGATTCTCACTACCAACTAGATATACAGGAGTTTCCTGGAGAGAGGCTGGACTTTGAACTTTTCCCAGGGTCAGAGTTGCTGGGAGGCTGTATGAGCATCTTGTTTTCTTATGGTACATTCAAATATGCAGACTCAAAAGGCTGGACCAGTGACAGCTGCTGTTCATTGTAAATGAGGCCTGGCTTTGCAGCCTTGCACCCCCTGTGAAGTTTGACAGGGAAGTTAAGGGATATTCAGTTCCTCTGGTTTACGAGGTGATGGAGAAGGTCTTGTGGTTGGCTTTTGGAAAGTTCTGGCAAAATTGCCAGATGATTCAGGAAGGGAAAGCAGGGCTCAACTGACTGAGAGAAATAAACAAACAGCACTTTGAGTAACTCCTCAACTTGGCTAACACGTCCTCTGTGGAGGAGGCAGGGTTTGAAGAGTTGGAGGAAGCCTCACTCATTTTCCTGGTAGAAGCCTCTGAGGTAGTTAAGAAGCTCCTTAGTGGCAAGGTGTCAGGTGTGGATGGGATTTGCCCTGAGGTGCTTAAAGTTCTGGATGTTGTTGGGCTGTCTTGCTGACATGCATCTTTAGTGTCATGTGAAGGTCAAAGACAGTGCTGTGGAATGGCCAGCTGGAGGGGTGGTTCCTATCTTTAACAAGCGTAATGGAGGTTGGGCTCCGGTTACTGGGGCATCACACTGCTCAGCATGTCTGTGAAAACTTATGTCTTGGTGCTGGAAAGGAGGCTCTGACCAATTGTTAAGCTTCTTCAACCTTGCAAAGTTACTAGTAGGGTCATCACAGTTTTCCCATCTAGTCTACATGTGCTTTGTGGACTTCGAGAATGCTTTTCATGCATGGAGTCTTGTATGGGGTCTCGGGGCTGTTGCTCAAGCCATCTTGTTTGTGTCTAACTAGAGTGATAGCCGAGTCTGTATTCTCAGTAGGACGCCAGACACATTCCCAGTTGGTGGTGGCCCCTGTCTGGGCCCGTGTTTCTTGACACTGATTCTTTTGGTGATTTTTATGGACAGTGTTTGAAGATGTAGCCAGGTTGAGAAGAGGTTTAGAAATGCCACTTAACCTGCATGTCTTTGGACTGTGGGAGGGAGCCTACACCAGCACAGGGAAGACACAAACTTTTGGCAAATTCAGATTTTATTTCTTTCTAAAAACCGTAACTGACAGTATACGCAGACATTTTTGTAACCTTTCTGTAATGAAAAATTTAATTCTAATACAAATAAAAGATTGTATTAAAGTTTTACATTTCTTTTTTTTTTTTCTTCCAACATCCAACTAAAAATGAAGGGTACAAGAAACAGAAGAATGTCCATTGCTACTGAGCACACAGTTCTTTTTGAAATGCGTGTAGTTTATTTGCTGTGTTTTACCACGGGTTGGTACATTGTACATATAGATGCATTTCACGTGTAGCCAGTAACTCCTTCATTGTGTACCATTTGTCAGAGATTTGGTCATAGTTTCCCCTTCTCTGAGGTGTTTCTGTAGCCTCCTATGGGTGGGGATGTTATACCAAGTGCTTCCAATGAGTGGGTGAACATGTGCCCGTTACAGACACCAGAGTGAGCCTTGTTCAAGGTGCACGCCAAATGCTATGCACTACACGCTCTATGCTTTTTGTCTGTGCCAGTGTGTGTGCGACATGGACTGTCGTGCCTCTAAATTTGATTGGCACCGAATTGGAAATCTCAGCACGATCAATCACGCTGAAAACCGGGCATTTCTGATCTCTGCCAATTGATCAGTGGATCTCTCCTGCTTTATGTGAGAAGGTTCTGGGTTATCAATTACTGCCCTACTGTGCTGAACTTTGTTAGTCTACACTATGTAAACTGACCATCTCTTGTACTTTGGCTGTTCCAAAGATTTTTGTAATAAAACCAGACTGACTTTTATTTGTTTTACATGCTGAAACAGAAAAACTAAAACACTTTCATAATAGTATTATAAATATCCATAAAATGTGGGGTTGTATTTTCAACAGAAGTACGTGTCTGTTTGTTTTATTTGCCCTTCTCCAGGTATGCAGTGATAGCCTTTGGGTGTGCCAGCTGTCCTAAGATCACGTGTGGCAGGGAGGGCTGCGGCACAGAGTTCTGTTACCACTGTAAGCAGCTGTGGCATCCCAACCAGACTTGTGATACTGCACGGCAGCAGAGGGCCCAGAGCCTGCGCCTGAGGAACCTCCGCTCATCCTCCCTCAGCTACAGTCAAGAGAGTGGGGCTGCAGGTAGGCTAAGTGAACACGCACGCAAAACCACCGATAGTAGTTGCATGACCGCCCAGCCACTTTTTCTCTCTGCTCTTCTCTGTATCCATCCTTTGTCATGTTCAGTGCTTGTCTAGCTGATCACTCACACAATCTTAAACACAAGCACAGATTATATCAAGTGTATTGCCACAAGTGTAATGAGGGTATGTATTTCCTTATTTAGATTACTGGAGGTTTGTAAGAAATAAAAAGTTTCAGATTTTGGCTCTGTGCCCACCTATTTTGCTCAGTTGAGTTTTTTTTTTTTTTTTTAATTTGTTTTTATAGCTTCATATATCTCAGTGACAGACTGGTCACAGTGAATGTTTTTTAGTGCCATGGTGAAGTTTGAGTTATCTGACTGACCAGACCTCAGTTTTTGACAGCAGTGGCATTATATACAGTAGCTAGTCAGCGAAATGACATTATGAATAGTTAAATCATATTCTCTTTCTCCCAGCCGATGACATCAAACCATGTCCACGCTGTGCTGCTTACATCATCAAGATGAACGATGGCAGCTGTAACCACATGACCTGTGCTGTCTGCGGCTGTGAGTTCTGTTGGCTCTGCATGAAGGAAATCTCAGACTTGCACTATCTTAGGTCAGTATGTCAACACATGTACATGCACACAGTTTACGTTGCTTTAGTTGGTTTCACATGTGGACAGTAAATTACCAGTGTACAACATTATTGGATGTGCAGATCCTTAAACAGTTTAAATGTTCACTTCTTTCATTACTGTGTGCGATTGCCCAGGCCATATTTGATATTGTAAAACATGGCACAGTTTATGACTTTTTTGGGCAGTTTACAACGTAGTAATTAGTTTGAGTGAAGGTTGGGTTGATGGGTACTTTTTTTTTTTGGCTGAGTTGTGGCTAAGGTTAAGAACCTATTCAGCAAGTTTGATTGTTTTAAATCGCAGACTTTCTCTTCTGCCCAGCTGAATTAAAATAAAAACCTAGCCAGCTCACTGAAGATCTTGACAACATTGGGATAAACAGTTTCTCTCCATTGTGTGACAACAAATGTAAAAGATGTAATGCCTTTGCACACAAACAATTGTAGTATCAGTGACTGGGACATTCTTTCCTTCCAACATTGTTTTGTTCTTAATTGTTCTCCTTTATCTCTCTTTCAGTCCATCAGGCTGTACTTTCTGGGGTAAGAAGCCGTGGAGCAGGAAGAAGAAGATTCTGTGGCAGTTGGGAACACTTGTGGGTGCCCCTGTTGGCATCGCACTCATCGCCGGTATAGCTATCCCTGCCATGATTATTGGAATCCCTGTGTATGTTGGAAGGAAGGTGAGCTCTAGAGACACAGTGATTGTATGTAAAATAGTTTGTAAAATATTGAAGTTCCTCTGCTTATAGTTCTGACTTCAGAGCATTAGGGCTGGACCCAAATATTCAGCTATTCTGATAATTGGCCTTTGGTTAGGTAATCAGTGTTCGGTTTTGGTATTCAGATGAAACAGCAGGAAGTTTCAATGCTGTTGCAGTCTGAGTCAAATGATGAAGAGTAAAGAGAACACGATGACGACAGCTTGGTCCACTGGTCTCTGAAAATGTTGGAGCAAGTCTTCAAATATGCATTACTGAGACTGACCAGATATTCTAAATCTATATGGCACTTTTTTGCCTGAAAAAAATATTTTACTAACTTAATTAATAAAGTAGCATAAGACCAATTCTAGATTGAAATATTCACAAAGTTTTCAGATCAATAAGTCATAAGTGAAACCTTGTTGAGACAAATGACATCTCTTTCCAGCCATAGTAAAGTACAGTAGATAGACAACATGTTACAACCTAATCTTCATAGCGTTCGTGGACTATTACTATGAAAGCTCTGGAGCCCAAAAAATTGCACTGGGGACAGACCAAGAGAGCACTGACTCATTGGGGATGTGTCACTGTTTAGATTTAATGTTCAAACACTTGACTGTATGGCTCATTATAAAGACACAGTGTTTCATTCTGGGTGAACAACTATTTAGCTGTAAACATCCCCGCTGTTATGTAACTTTAAACATGTTACAGTTATCAGTAATGGAAATAAACAGTCTGCTTGGCCCGAACAAGCACCGCGTATCAATAACTAAGCACTTAGAAAAACTACTGTGAATACAGTCATGCATTTTTCTCAGGATCTGAGGTTATCTCAGGTAATTTAGCTGTAAATGATTTAGCTGAGATAATTTCTCAATAACCTGCATGTGTGTATACACACTTGTGTTGTGTTGCTGATCAGGCTAGCTCTGTTTAATGAGAGTTTGACCTTACAGTAAAAAAAAGTCTTTACACCCACCAAAATTCCCCTCTGAAGAAAGCCAAAGACGCTAGTGCCAACAGATTTTTCCCCCGACAAACCCAAACCACATTCAGTAGTGAGCACATGTGAAACATCTGAGCATGAGTCATCCACATTCCACATGCGCTGGATGTCCCTCCTTGGTAATTATGTTGATTCTGCATAATGGTGGCTCATTACATCAAGCATATAAGCATATTTACAGTCTTTGTTATGTGTGATTTTTGCTGTTTAGAACAGAACATAATTGTGTCGGTCAAATCAGCTATAATTTTTTCTCACCTAAATCTTAAATAACACTGGCAACAAAACAAAGTGTTTGGAAAATGCGTTTTAATTATTCATGCAGTCCTGTAGATGGATTTATGCATTATGTAGTTCTCTTTCAGTCTTGTGAGTTTTATTTGTCAGTTTTTTCCCCTCAGTATTCTTCTAGTTATGCTTCCTGTTGTCCTAAGAAAGTATTCAGACCTCTTCACTTTGCACACTGGCTGGATAAAATGGCCATTTTTGTCCTTCAGTCTACACTCAGTAACCTGTCATGCTTGCAATGTATGCTATTAAAAAATCTACAACTGAAATCTCGATTACAAATGTATTCAGATCCTATGTTGTGGCACATGTGGTCAGGTGCATCCTGTTTGCTTTGACTATCCTTGAGATACAGATTCCACCTATGATAAACTGAATTGACTGGGCGTCGTTTAGAAAGACACACCTGTGTATATAAGTATATACAGTTCACACTGCATGTCAGGACAAAAACTAAGCCATCAAGTCCAAGGAACTCTCTGTAGACCTCCTTCTAGAAGCCACTTTGAGTAAAAGGCCGATGAGAGCTGCTCATCGTCTGCTCTTACCATCCCTACAGTGAAGCATGGTGGTGGCAGTGTCATGCTGTGTGACAGGGAGACTGGTCACAACTGAGGGAAGGATGAATGCAGCCAAATACACAGAGGTCTTTGAAGAAAACCTGGTCCAGAGTGAACTCAGCCTGAGACTGTGGTGACGCTTCACATTTCAGCACAATAATGTCCTAAAGAAAACAGCCAAGACATTGGAGTGACTTCAGGACAAGTCTCTGACTGTCTCTGAGTGCCCCAGCCAAAGCCCAGTTTCAAAACCCAGAAAGCATCCGTGGAGATGGAAGTTCACTGACACTTCCTATCCAGTCTGATGGAACTGGAGAGGGTCTGTCAGGAAGAATGGGATAAGCTGCTTGTATAGACTTGGAGAAGATGGCTGGAAGCTGGAACTGCTGCCAAAGGAACTTCTAGAAATGATTAAATCTTTTTTGTAAATGAGAGATTTTAGATTTTTTTTTATAATAAATTTGCCAAAAATGTCTACATGTTTTCACTTTGTCATTATTAGTTAATGATTGTAGACTGATGGAATTGCAGAATTTCAGTTTGATCCAACTCAAATGAAACTGACACCAGAAAAGTGAAGGGGTCTGAAGACTGAAACAGCTGTATGTGTCAGTGTTTACTTTGAGGAGATTTCTTCTCCAATTACAAGTCATTGTCCTGTGGCTAGTTACTACTAGCACATGTGGCTTTGCTGCCACCCGAGGAGTTACTTTTCCTCTCTGGCTTGGTAGCTGCCATGTGAGAAGGCATTTATGTGATGAGAATAACTTGCTCTCAGCTCATTATTTTTTTTTTTGACTGTGACCTTTCTGTAATGTAGAAAGAATGAAAGTGTAGGCTTGCTGGCAGTGGATTGTGTGGGGCTTTCCTCAGGTTGACATTAGCTCGCCCAAACTTCAAAGACTTGTTTTGGCTTTGCTGTTTGTGGTTGGTCTAAAAGGAAACAAACCTGGAGGCTGTCTGCTCAGAGGTTCTCAGCAAAAATCTAAGTAGGCAAACAGATGTAGGCTTTGTCTCAGTCTAACAGTAGCTCAGGGCATGAAAGCTTCACATACCTGCTAGGAGAGAGGAAAATGAGAAATGCTATCCCAACAGTGTGAAACTTACTGAACACACTAGTGTTCTAGCATTCTTCTCGTGTGGTGTAAGCAACAATTAGAATACTGGTTGTGAGAGCTGAGGTTCTCAGTGTCCTCTCTGACTGTGTGACTGCCATTGGTCCCCTCTTCTCTGTCAGATCCATAACCGCTATGAAGGCAAAGATGTTTCCAACCACAAGAGGAACCTGGTGATCGCTGGTGGGGTGACTGTCTCCATCATTGTGTCTCCAGTGGGGTCCCTCTCTCCTGCCTCTGGCCTGTTACTCTTTGTGTGTCTGCCTCTGCTCTAACTCCCAGCATACCTGCGTATCTGGACTGACATATCCTTGTTTGACTTTGCTAGCTTTTTTGTTTAATAATTTATTAGAATTCATATTATGCAAACATTTGTCTGAGGATGAGTTAGACTGTTAAGATTTCAGTGTAACAGCAGCAGTGGCTTCCTATTGTTTTTAGTTTTTCAGGCTGTGGTCTAACTTGTAGCTGGTGTTTCTATCTCTCTCTGTCACCACTCAGGTATTGGGGTTCCCATCATGCTTGCATACGTCTATGGCGTGGTGCCTATCTCTCTGTGTCGTAGCGGAGGTTGTGGCGTCTCAGCTGGGAATGGCAAAGGAGTGCGCATAGAGTTTGATGACGAAAATGACATAAATGTTGGCAGTGGGACAGCTGCCACTGGTAAGCTGTAGTGACCCCACCCACAACTCCCCACACCCAAAGCCCGCCTTTTGTGTTTATCTTTCATGACTCTATTGAACACACCTATTAAGCATAAAAAGTGTTGATGGAAAAAGTAATGGAAACAGTTTTAATAACTGGTTGAACCACCTTTGGCAGCAATAATCTCAAGTAACATCTTCCTGTAGCTGTGTATTAGACCTGCACAATGTTCAGGAGGAATTTTGGACCATTCTTCCTACAGAATTGCTTCAGTCTTTGAGATGACTCCGTAACCATTTCCAGCTACATGCAAATCAACAACTCTTGGTCATAGGTCTTCAGAGATCTCTTTTTTGTGAGGCATGGCTCACATCAGCTGATGCTGCTTGTGAACAGCACACTGACATTGTTTTTATAAGTAAGGGTAGTTCTAAACCACACCTCTATTCTTGTTTCATTGATTGGACTCCAGGTTTGCCAACATTTAACTCCAGTTGATATTTAGTGATATCAGAAGCCTGGTGTTTCCATGACTTTTTCCACCATTACTTTGTATGTATAATGGGTGTGTTTAATAAAGACATGACAGATCATGACTGTTTGTGTTTTACCAGCTTAAACATATTGTGTTTGTTGGTATTTGTGACTTTGGTGAAGATCAGATCACATTTTTATGACCTGTTTATGCAAAAAACTGGGAAATTCTAAACAGTGCCATTACTTTTTTCTTGCGACTGTATGTCAACAGTTTTCATGTTCTTTCAGACTTATTTTACAGAAAAACTTTTTTTTTTTGCGTTTTCTGTGACCAAAGCCCACGGCAACTTGGGAAAAAAGCCTTAGAAGTCCAGAATTTTGTGCATTACATTTTTGCCAAAAACATCACATTTTAGAGAAAGCATTATATTTCTATCCCTTATTTTTATATTTTTAATGGTATTTCATGCTTGTATCTTCTCTGTAGATACTACATCAGTGGCAGACAACAGGAACAACCCCAGTATAGGTGAAGGCAGTGTGGGGGGTTGACGGCCAGCGGGAGTGCCAGTGGCAGCCACATGGACCGTCTGGGGGCCATCAGGGACAATTTAAGTGAGACGGCCTCCACCATGGCCTTGGCTGGGGCCAGCATCACCGGCAGCCTGTCTGGTAGTGCCATGGTCAATTACCTCAACAGGTACTGACACACAAATGCATGCCATGGGATTTAAATGGTAAACTTTATTGTATTTTTTTCTAAGTCTCTCCCCTCACATATTGTCAGGCTGGAGGTGCAGGCTGATGTGCAGAAAGAGCGGTGCAGTCTCAGTGGTGAATCTGGCACTGTCAGTCTGGGTACAATCAGTGACAATGCTAGCACCAAAGCAATGGCTGGATCCATTCTTAACTCATACATGCCCCTTGACAGGTGAGCAGTGTTGACTCTGAACTGGGATAAGGTTTGTAGGGGAGAGTCTGTCTATTAGCAGCACTGGTGTGATTCTGTGTAGCAGATGTCCTTCTAGAAGGCCTTGTTAAAAAACAGATTGTAGTGAAATACTCATTAAATGCACACCTATGGCCACATAATGTCAGTGTTAAGAGACTGCTGAGGTAGTGTACTGTTTAATAGAAGAAAAACATTAAATTGTTATGTGTTCAGGAGTGGCAGGTGTGAGTAACATGCTTTTACTATTTCTCTGTGATGAAGACCGGAGGCCATAACCACTCAGTGTTTTAACCAATATGCCTGGCTAAACAAAAGCTTTTAATATAGCCCCTCTCGTGGCTCTGCCTTAGAGTGCCTGAAATGTCTGCTATTTAAATTATTTATGGTCGATTGATTGTTATGTAATGATAAAACATCCAGGGAGCATGTGCTGCCTCTTTTTAATTATGACAAGCATTGAATAATTGTTATGGAAGCATTGAGTATGAATTGATGCTTTGTATCTACTCTAATGATGCAGCTGACTTATTATGAAACAGCTTTCTGGGGCTTATTGCTTAAGGTGTTTTCATATAGCTAGCAGTTACCAGCAATAACCATGGCAATTGCAGAAACTGTAGTGAGGAAAACACCTTAAGCAATAAGCAGAGAAACGGTGCTGGAGCAACATCAGCTTCAGTCTGATGTGGTAAACAGTGTTTTTGATACTAGAGAATGAAACTTTCCATAAGCATGTATCATATTGCTGACCATTTTCCCAAGTTTAGGCTACTATCCTGTGTGTGTAGCTGAGTGATAACAATACACCTTGTGGATAGTGAATAGCCTGTCTGTGCTGTACAGGCTGCTGGGACTGGGGGTAGCCACATGCTGTGGCTGTGCTGCTGCCGATTGGAAATAGAGAACACTAGTGTTGCTGCATGTTCAAACATGTACACACATGTAAACCCACATCCTGTACGTACAGTATTTTTATTAAGTGCCTTACCTGTCTGTCTCATGTCGTCCCCCATCCCCAAATTGTTCCAGAGAAGGGAACAGTATGGAGGTCCAGGTCGACATTGAATCCAAACCTGGCAAACTATGGCACCACAGCGGCAGCAGCAGTGTAGATGACAGCAGTCATGTTGGCCGCTGTGGCTGGACCTTTTTTTTTTCTAATGGCTGCACCCCCTCAGAAGGTAAGGGAACCTCCACCAAGTGGGCTAAAGAGGCATCTTGCTGCTCCTTGTCCAGCTCTGGGGGCAAAAAGAGCAAAGGCAAGCTGCGCAAGAAAGGCCACGGGGGCACCAAGATCAATGAGACACGGGAGGATATGGATGCTCAACTGCTGGAGCAGCGCAGCACCAACTCTTCAGAGTTCGACTCTCCTTCTCTGAGTGGCAGCCTGCCCTCGGTGGCTGACTCCCACTCCAGCCACTTCTCTGAGTTCAGCTGCTCTGATCTGGAAAGCATGAAGACGTCCTGTAGCCATGGCTCCAGCGGAGGTGATTACCACACACGCTTCGCCACAGTCAGCCCCTTACCTGAAGTGGAGAATGATCGCCTGGAGACCTGCCCGGCTGCTTCATCTTCCTCTTCCCAGGGACAAGGAGCTGTGATCACACCCCACTCCCCAACCTCCACCACCTCCTCCCTGAGCCACTGTGCAGAGCTCTCCCCTCACTGCTACGTCACAGAAGAGAATGTCAACTTAGCGTATCCCACTGAGCCAGATTCTCACAGCAACACTGGTGAGCCGCTGAAAGAAGCCAACAACAACCAACCACAGCAGCAGAACTCCTGTGTACAGACTGACATCTAAAATCTCAATACCTTAAATGCTGCACAGACACCATTTTTGATTTTAATTTAACATCCTTTCCTCCAGTAAACTAACAAGCATAGCTTACAGTTTAACCTGCATTTTTGTTCCTTCCGTGTAAAGGGGATATTCTTTTGGAATTTATATCCTTCATAAAAAGCGACTTTTGAGTAAAAACCTAACTCTGTGTCCACTGTCACGAAGCTTGTTGGAAGTAGTCAGGGTTCCCAGCTGTGAGAGAAGTGTTGTGAATGCTGGGCTTTGTCTGTGCGACCAGCACACCGCTGACACCTTTTTTTGACAGTTCACTTACTCGCCAGTTAAAACAGAAAGTAGCCCACTGATTTGGGTGCTGTCATATTGATCTGTGGAAACTGAAATAAAACCACTGTGCCAGTTTTGTAAGTATTTGATTTTGGCTCTACAATGCGGATGCAAACCCACGCAGGAACCTTACTGTTGCAGCTTTCCAGAGGTTAACTCAGACAGGGACCAGGCAATATGATTCACTATTTCCTCTGTTTATTTTTCCCGAAATAGATTAGTCACTGAGGAACCTTTTGTGTTCTTGTCTGTATTTATTTTTAGACATTTTTTCCTGGATGTTTGTTTGAAATGAAACCTCTAATGTATAATTCTAAAGCCTGGGCTCAACATCCTGATTCATTCTAGCACTGAAATCAACTTGTAACAAAGCCAAGTTTCTCTGTAGGTGGGTGTGTACACAGCTGTAGTCCCAGTGTGGCGGGTGGTCCTTGGTAACCACTGAGTTTAGACCTGTAGCCTACAACTGTGTGCACTTGTAGTGCCAAGATGACTCTGGGAGCCCAGGCTTTGTTTGGTTCTTTGGAAAGCTTGTGATGATAATTTGAGGTGGATGAGATTTGAGAAAAGGTCTCTGGAAGGGCCCAATTAAGATAATGCTGAAAGTCAATGTTAAACAATGGGTTGGTCAGTTCTGTGAAACTGTATAAAGAAAATGTCCTGCACAGAGATGATTTGAGTAAGAGGGAGCTTTGATATCTTTGTTAACTCATGGTGCCTTCTATAAGCTGTTTGTGTTGTTTGTCTCTCTCTCTCTCTCCGCTGTGTCTTCAAGGCTCCAAACTGCAACTCATTATAGGTTACAGAATGTGTCTGTGTCGAAGGGATGCTCATCCATATCTTCAACCTACTGTGGTGGACTTGGTAAATGAAGAATTTTCACTTGCCTACCAAAGATAGCACTCAGGCTCTTGTTAGATCCTAGACCTTTGACTTGTCACCTGTAGACACAGTATGGAGCATCCTTTTTACACCGTGGGGGTGAATGAACACAACACACATACAGACTTTCATACATGATTCACAAATGCTACGCAAATAACTGAGGCCACACAATAGCCCAAGGCACCTGCACTGTTATCTGTATTTGTTATTACATTGTTCTGCAATGCACAAGGTTATTAGGGATACATGGGTTTGTTATGGGTTACCCTCTATTGATTTATCCGGTGACTCCTGTTTGCCTTGCCATTAGGTGCTGTTGCACACTTCCTGTCAGTGTTTGCTGAGGCCTGTCTTTACTGCTCAGTGGTCTGCTGTAGTGAGGCTGCTGAGTTGGCTCAGGTGAACCTCTACCATGTAAGCAAAAACATCTTGAAAGGTATTTTAACCTGGGTCCGTTACTGAATACACATTCGGTTTGGTTCGGTGGATGAGGCTACATGCTGCAATCTTCCCCACATTAAAGCAGAATATTTTGTTCTTCCACCACAGTTCTGTTTCTCATTCCTCAACAAAACCCAACCTTTTTGATCCTAATTTGAACACTAGTGCCAGATGTGCTTTGTAATTTGTGCAGAATGACATAAGGTATTTGTATATTTGTTTGGTAATTTGCTTTACTATATGCGTGTAAATGCATATCAGAAAAATAAAAAAAAAGTTATATGTTGTCATTCTCAGTTTTTCAGGTTAATACAAATAATTATGGTATTCCATCTTTAATAGTATTTCTATAATGTACACAGTTATTTGAATTCATCAGACATGAAGAAGGTATTTATTTTTCTAGTCTCTGTGAATATTGTACACATTTGCACATCTCTACTGAAATCTATTATGGTAAAATCACAGTGAGGAGAAAATGGAACATGTAATTATTGTCTCTTCCCCAGCTTGTCAGCCTGAAGTATATTTGGTACATTCATTTACAACTCATAAAATGTTTGGATTCCAGCAGTCTTCTGCTTTGGATGACTGACATTCAGTAGTTTAATACAATGACAGTGTATTTAAATTAGCAATTTAAACAGTTGCATGCATGTAGTCAAATGAATATACAGTGTGTATGATTTGTGATGCAAAAAGCTACTGAATTACTCGTAAGAAGAATCTATATGCTGATCAACATGTAAGCTGACCCCTGCTCTGAAATCCAAGGCACACATCTCATCAAGATTCTGCTTCCCTCCAATGTGTACACATCTGCATGCCTAAACTGCAGATGTGCACTGGCAGACAGGCTAATTTAGTAAACAATTAGTGTGAATGACTTTAGGTCATTCCCAAAGGAAAAGACCCAAATGCCTGTCTTTAAAAGATGATTTCACATTGCTAATTGCATAGCTGAATGAACAAAAGCAAACATCAAAGTCACGTTAAGTTTACAAATGAGATCTTCTACAACACTGTCAGTAGCTCTCAGTCCACCAGATACTGTCATCTGACTGTACAGAGCAGCCATGAGATACAGTACCATGCAGGCCTATTTCCTCCAGACAATACAGTGCACGCTCATAATGAAACGGTTAGGTACTTTAGCTTATGGTTTTGTCCTGCAGCAAGGAACATCTTAACTAGCTCAGTTGCAAATGATCTCAATTGATCCTCTGCTAGGTTATATTCAGGATGCACTGAATATCATTTCTGACCTTGGCTGGTATCTCACAGCAGCTCATCTATGTTATTAAGGGACTGACTGACCTGATCAGCTGAGCACAGTTCTGGGAACTACGCTTGTCCTGACAGCCTATAAGTGGAAACACTTGCCTGTAGCCTAACATTACATTGCACATTGGACCCTATTTATCTATACACTTACATGAAAGGTCCATAGTTTCCCACTGTCTGTCTGCTGTACAGTATAAATGGTTAGTGGTAGTACAAAACTAAATATGCATAAAATGTTCTGCAAAGAAAAATATTTTCTTTAAGCTACTTTAAAACAGATGGTTATTATTTACAGTACAGGTCAGTGGGGTAAATGTGGCTCTGTTCCATTGTATTGCTCTGGGACACATTGTACAGCTTCCTGCCTTTGTTTTACTCAGTTCTTGTGCAGTATTTTACATAGATCCAAGCCTTATAGTGGTGCAGCAGCTCATGCAGCCGGTAGCAGGGGCAGGAAGGTCAGATGTATTTTTTGGCTAGGTTCTGAACGTCGTTCTTCGTGTACTCCGTGCTCTCCACAGCCGACAGATGCTCAAACAGCTGAGTCATGCGGTGACGCTCGTCCTTCTCCAGCAGCATCAGTACAACCTACAGAAACAGCAGAGCAGTTACCTCCAAATCTCAGATGCTGGCAACAAAGTGGACAGATCATGTACAAAACAATATCAGTTTATAAGAAGGAGCAATAGCCAAATTAAAAGGTGTACTTTAAGACATTTTGACATGTGACTTACAATACCTATCTTTTCAGATTGTAGGTTTTTTTTCATCACACAACCTTGTTTGAATGTGAAGTGAAGCCCGTCTTACCGAGAACCTTTCAGCTGTGTGCAGATAGCTGAGGTGTTGGTAGACCAGGCTGGGGTCTTTCTCCAGGAGGTGGGAGTCTAGTGCCTCCATGATGAAGCTGATGGCGTGTCCGTCCAGCTTGGTGCTCAGGTACTGTGGAAGCTTGTCTGGGGCTGTGGAAGCCAGCAGGTCAGCACAGGCCGCAGTGTTTCTGCTACAGCAAGCTGCGTTCAGAGCCTGGCCAAACTCGTAGGCGTTGGTTGGCCGGAGGTTGACGGCAACGTCCTCTCCTATGAAGCTGCTTTCTGAGTTGGGAACGGCTGTCGTTTCCTCATCACTTTCAACCTGAGGAAGCAGAACAACAGTGGTGACTAAAGTGAACTTACAGAGGGAAGACATGATAGAAGCTTTGATGGAGAAGCTTTAAACCTTGAGGGAAAAAGGTGATGCCCCCTTTCTGTGCATACTGCGTCCATGTAAAGTCACTGAGGGTGACTAACTATGCAGGTGTGATTAAACCAAGATCCTAGTCAAAATGCATTGTCAGTTTTTCACAATCTTTGGTGGCTCCACTGAATTCACTTTCTTTGGTATTATTAACTTGGCTAGGCTACAGTGACCCCAAGTATCTGAGATGTACACGTGTTTAAATCAAACAGCCCTGGTCTTTCTTTGCTGTAGTGTGGAGACAAGATTGATCACACAAAGCAGAGTTGGAGGCGCTGCTGTATTTTGGGCCTCTGGGGTTCAAGAAGTAAGTGGCTTGTTCACTGTCTGCATAGAGATTTTTTGGTAGTTGGAGAACCTTTATCCAGGAGGGTTTGATCTTCTTCACATGCCACTTTACTCTGGATCTCTGCTGTTTGATGCTGGGCAGACTTGAAACTACTTGGTACATACTGTCATGGGGTTGGTAAGAGTGGTGAGACAATCTATGTTCATACGCATTTAGGAAACCAGAGCAATGACCCATAAGTGGCTACAAGCCATAGTGTTAGGTGTCGATCTGCTGTTGTTTGTAGGCAGTCATTTAATTCAATGTTAAATAGGTCCCAACAGTTGAAACTGTGAGAACTCAGTTATTTTCACCTTCCTCCCAAACACTAAGATGTAAACAATTATAACATTTGTGGCTAAAGTAGCGATATAAATTGTGGATATGCCGATTTTATGAGAGCAAAAGAAGACAACTGAACTCTTTCCATGTGACTCCAAGCCTGGTTCATGTATGTCAGAAAAGGCTGTGATGCTACCTCTGTGATGGGGACAGTCTTCCTGGGCTGAGCTGGGGAGGCGGTGGCCAAACTTTGTCTGAGCAGCACTGTGACCTCCTCCAGCTCTTTCTCAGCCTCCTGCACACTGGGATCCTGCTGCAGCACCTCGTGCAGATCAGAGCTGCACGCCAGGTAATCCTGAGACAAAATACAGCTTTATATATGAAACCAATATGTGTAAGTGACATTTTACTGAGTTTACATGTTTCAGTATGCTTGACAAATTTAAATATATGCCACCTTGGTGCACAATCTGGGCTGAATGTATTGAT